TATGACTCAATTTTTAGGATTTTACGCGAGCTATTGAATAAATACATTTTCATGTACGCCATTCTACACCTAAGTTTAACCGACTCTGAGACATCTAAAATTTTGCGTACAAAACAAATATGGATCAATGGATTCTTTTTCTGGTCTTTTTGCCTTTGCAATATAATGTAATGAGTTTCCTTCTCAAACCGTTAACCGTTCTTATGACTGTTGCCTTCGTATAACGCAAGGACATGCACAACCCTTTAGATGGTGTTTTAAGATACAAATATGGTTAGAGAAGTGAGCGACTATTGCTCGAGCATTTTTATGAGACCCATAGCGCCGAGAAGTAAAATGTGCGCAGTCAATAAAGGCCTCCTCAAACGAGGTGGGTATATAAAAAGTAATTCAGAACAACATGACAATATTTTGATGGCAAAATTAGATCATAAAATATGTATATAAGCATGGATCCTAAAGTGCCACTTACCGAGACACAAAGTTTTGCAAATTACAAATTTTGAAATAGAAAAAGTACTTTTCGAGTGGATTAAGATATAGACTCAAAATTTTGTACAGATGTTACCGGTGAAATAGTCACAACATATACATAAAATAATTTGCACCTGAGACTATACGAGTGGCGTAGAAATTGAAAATTTTTGACTTGTTCAGAAGAAAAGATAAAGCTAATTCCTACGGCATCGAACCTCTTGGAACATATTTTACTTTTGAGCAAGGTATTAAATTTTACATGAATCGTCTTTGTTTAAAAATGTTTGGCCTTTCAAAAAAATGTTTGAATATTTGGGGTAAAGTCGGTAAAAACAGCTTCAATCTGTTCTAATCATATCTGACCATGGCGTTACTCAAACAATATTGATGTTTCATCACTATCTAGTCTCATCTATTTACTAGAAATTCACCACAACCTTTATCTTGATAATGCTATTTTGAATGTAATTTCCATCCTATAAATATTACCAGGTTTTTTTCTGAATTACCCTCTTTATATTTCAGTCGGTTTTATAAGTTTTAGATGCTCTCATTATACAGTGTCAAGAATTACGATGGTCCAGCAGCATTTTACAAATACATCTAGTAGCTTGACGTCAGACTGACAAACGCAAATATCTAGGCCTGCGGACCGGTCCATCTTAGTTTCAGATGGGAAAAAGTTGCTGACGGTAGTTGGATATGGTGTTATTCTATCAGGTGCTTCCCCAATAGTACCTGATTATTCATAAACCTGATATAAGTTAATTTTCAAATATACCAGGATATAACTAATGATAGGTAGAAGTTAGCAGGACCTTATTTCAAATGAAATAATTACTTACCTGTAGTCCATTTATCAAAGAAAGAGGCTGAACCCCAAAATATTCACGCATACCTTCCGTGCTGGAGCTGCAGAACCCCAAGCTAACACCTAACGGCCAGCGAGGCTGCATGGACCGCCATGTCGCCTCCCACTCCACCGTCCTGGATCAGCATTTGTCCTGTATGTGGTCTCGACCAGTTCTGCCCTATAACAGTTACGCTCTCCATACATATCAACGTGATTTAGGATTGCTGTCAATAACGGTAATTTCTGCGGTTAGTAGTAAGAAAGAGCCGTTTGTGACCTTTGGCACCACGAAGCTGCAATATAGATCGAATTAACGCTTTTTAAGTATTTCGTCAACCTTAAAGCTAGGCTGTTCAAAGATCTTCAAATGTTTCCTGGATTATAAAATAACGTTGGGATTCGCCCTGGTTGCATCTTTGCGACAATTTCCCGGTAATTTCCGCCGGCCACGCGATCTCGATCAACAGCGCTGTCAAACGGAAGAACATCCTTGAGGGGAAAACTTTTCGTGCAGGTCCTTCCAATTAGGGCAGCGACACGAAAACGATTCTACGTGACGTTGAACACTTTTAGCCGGCGACCGATATGCCAAGGTACCAATTTGTTGCACTGACGCCTGTAATCAGGGTGCTGTGCGATTCCTGGATATTCCGTACAGGTCAACGTTTTGTTCAATCATACAGTCTTTTGAATACAAACAACGTCTTCAGCTCCAACAAGTTCTCCACCTAGACAAATTACATTTCGAATAGCTGAAATAGCTGTAGACTCTTTTTTACTGGCGTGTTGTGAAAGTATTTCAAAATTCGTGAACTTTGGCACAGATTGTATTAGCATAATATGGATAACTTAGGTCCTGGGGCATTACGATACTTCCTGTAAATTGAGGCTAGAAGTTCTGTTAGTCACACAAATTATATCTCTCAGGATTCATGCAACTACGTGTTTTAGCTCGACTATAACCTTTATGAGGATCTTAAAGGATCTAGTCCCCACATCCGGCAACGACTTATACCACAAATTTTTGCAGATCCATTGCCCTTGTTTTAAGATTGACGTATCTTGCGGCTGGTTAACCTCCGATTTTGTCACTTCATGCAAGCCTTTGCCTTTCCTGCACATGTTGAAAAACTAGTGTTTCACGTTTGTTCAGCGCTTCATTGTATTCCCTTAATACATGATTCTTGCTCTGGTTTTTGTTGTGTGTAAAAAGTTGAACCAATTATGTTGTGCGATTCTTAAGCTTAAGTTTTGCTTATCAGAATCAGCTTTGGTAGATGTGTATTATGCTGTCGTCCACTCACATTTATCAAGAAACATCATAATTTAGGGTCAATCAACTTTAATTTCTAGAGCATTTTCTCAACAGAAGAGAATAATCAGATTGATATTTAACATCCATAGAAGAGAATCCTGCAGAGAGATCTTCAGAAGTAAGAACATCATGACTACCAAGCATTCATCGTATAAGTGCGCACTTATCACACATAAAAACAAAACAAAATTCATACAGAACAACGATATCAGCTCTTACTGTAATACAAGGGCAGGTGAGAGTCGAAGTATTCCAAAACAAACACTGACGTTTGAAAAGTCATCACAATACACTTTCATTAGAATATATATTAAACTTTCTGCTAACCTCAGGAATGTCAGTAGCATTGCTAATTTTAAATGTCAACTAGGAAAATCGTTAGTTGAAAAATGTTTCTACTCTTTGTCTGAATACCTCGCACTGTGATATATTTTTAATTTTTTTTATATGTGAACGTCTGTATGCCTTAGGTTGTTCCTGTTTGTGCTTTGTAAATACTTTTGTTTGTTTTGTTTTACTTTTAATTAAGTGTACTATATACCTCCTCTTAGAACGAGTCTTATGTCACTTATATGATCTACAAACAATCTATCTATCTACCTGTGTCTATCTATTTTTCAGTGCTTTTTCCCTTGCATTTTATGTAATAAGCGCGGTGGTTCTTTTTGTGAGCCGTACAGGTATATTAATTGATAGGTTTAGATTAAAATGCCTTTTCCACCACATCCGTTTTTCATGTGTATTTCAGATGAATTGTTGTAATTCACGACACTATCAACTTGCAATTGTGGGTCTAACATATTAATTCTGAAAATAGAGGTACATTAACCTGAGCAAGAACAAGTGCTGAAAAGTCAGTTGAGCTTATATGTCAGAAACGTCCAAATTAATATTATAATTAGGCCAATTAAAAATTTAATTAAATGTGCGACATCTAGCAAGCTTAATTAGTTTAAGCAAGCTCCGATATCTAAAACTCTTGACTCGATTCTGTGACACTAGTTCGGTTAAGTCAAAACGCAATCGCTTAATTAAGCTTATTAAACAGTTTATTAGATTAAGTAAGTACGTAAAATAATATATATATATATATATATTGCCTAGTTTTAATGAACTATTTTATTTACATTTAAAAGGATATTTGGAATTCAAAAAAACAATAATAAGGTATATTAGTACTGTGCTCTGACAAGACTTGGATTTCAAGAAGCTTACTGAACTTGTTATTGATAGTCGGTCTTTGCAAAAAAAACTTCTGAATTTTACTACCCTACAAAAATTCGATATTTTTTATTCTCATTGATTGTGAACTTATTATATACTAGCGGACCCGACAGACGTTGTCCTGTCTTAGCTATAAACTGAATAATGAATATGGAAAGGCTAAATATATGGAATATAGGTAATTGTTTAGCGAAGTGTTTGTACCGCCATGCGGCTACCAAAATACGTGGTCAGCACCGCCATTACCTTGAAAGTAGGCATAAAATTATATCGAATGACTTTTGTTACGTCAAATGACGAATAATAAAATATTTATTCATCGATAAACGCTGTTTAACGATTATATAAATTTGCGGCGAGCAAGCTGTGAAGTGAAGAGTAGTGAAAGTCAATTAAGCAAAAGCCACGCATTTTCATCCGCCATAGTTATTCATATAGTTAACTGACATAGATAACACTTAGGCAACACTGCAATTTCTTTTGCAGGGGCCATCACGTTCCATAAACAATTTTTTCTCACATAGCTCTGTTAATAGCTGTTGGAATAAAGATGGCGGAGAGGAGTGCCCGTCTTTTTCGGTACTTGAGATATTTCTTTTGCTGTGTGTGCTCCATGCTCACGAGAACTGTCAAACGCGCGTAGTTCAAGTAATCATTAAGTTTTCAATTATTTTCCAATTTTCTGCGCAATTTTCTTGATCTTTGTTTCCGTAAGAACCTTCTATACAGTATCAGGAAACTTTTAAAAAAAGACGACTGAAATCGGTAAAGTCGTTCTCAAACTATGACGTGACCACGCGAAATACCGATTCATTTTTATATATAGATGAGATCAATTTTACCAAATATTTGTTTGTTTGTCCAAAACAAGGTTATAGGTATCGCCACCCACTAGAAGAAATTCTTTGTTTTACTTTCGGAACGTAGGGAAAGGGATACCTGAAACTAAATAATACCACTGGATCATGTGTACAAAAATTGTACTTTTATTTCTAGTAAAACAATATTACATTCACCCGCATTCAACGCACAAAGTCCATAGGTTATAGGTCCAAGCACTGAACTTTGAAAAGCACCTATTCAAAAAGAATCCAGATGTTTTAACAGTTCATTAATCCATTTTTTGTTGTTTCAGTTCCCTGGCTATGAACAACAACAACTTGTCGACGGCCAACAACAACACGACCGTACCGGGCAGCGGAGTCGCCGGCGCCGGCGTCGGCGGTCTTACCGTTGTTAACCCCAATTCTGCAACAACTGCCGTCCTGAACAACAATAACAACCCACTGGCCAACAACGCCAACACGTCAAGTGTCGGTAGCAACACAGGATCGTCCAGTACGAACACTTCGTGTAACAACAATAACACCAGTGTAGTTAGTTTGCAACAGTCGACTTCTCCGATAAAAATTGACCAGGTAGGTGAACAAAATGGAGAGTCGCTCAAAAATTTAGACAACTCACAAACCTTGATTTGATATGTGAATATTTGTTACACAAGTGCCTTTGGAACCACCGACTGAGTGTTGTCACTCAAAAACGAGTGCTCTTGGTACGAGAATAACTATCTTGAATTAAGTATCGTGACTTTGATATGTTTCTAAGACGTATTTCTTTGAACTAAAGGCTCGATGACAGGGAGCTAGTTTACTCGCCGCTAGTGCGCTTTTTGAGTAGCTGCTAGTAAACTAGCTTTGCGTAATTTACTTAGCACTATCCAGAGTTTACTGGCCAATATGTTGGCTAGTAAAGTTGAAGACCGGTCAGCTTTACTAGCTACTAGCTGACCTTCTTACTATCGGGATAGTAAAAAAGCATCGTGTAATTATATCGGCGAGATAACTAGATATACGTCAGAAGCAAATTATGTGTAAAATATTATATTAGTGATGACGAAGTTGTTTTAAACTGCTGTGTGTGGTGTGCTTTTGGAACTCGTAAACGGTCAAAATGTCGCCTAAAATGTCAAAAAAGAACTTCGTGGATGTACTTATTCTTGGAGCTATATTACATGCAGAAATCAAACAAGAAGAGTTACCGCACAGATAAATTAGGTGCTTCATGTAGCCTTTTAAAAGAATTATCCGAAGAAGATGACGCTTGTTAACTGTCCACGTGTAATCATGCATGCTTTTTTACACGCCAACTATCTCACTTGCCGGCTAGAAAAAAGCGCATTAGCGGAGAGTAAACTAGCCTTGTGTCATCGAGCCTTTAAGTCCATTTCTTATTTGCAAGAGCTCTATCTTTTTGGAACAATGACTATTTTATTTCAAGTATCTGTGATCTCGAATCAATAGCGTATTTTCATAGAAACCCGTGCTCTTCAACCAAGAGCGCCCTTTTTTATGTGCAGACTGTCTTTAAGTGGAACGGTGAAAACAAAATGGCGCGATGTATGTCCGAATTGGAAAATATTATAACTCCGGGGTTTTGGGGTAGCTAATCATGAATCAGATTTCAAGTTTCAGAGTCAAAATTGAATGGAGGAAGATTTTTCATCTGATTCGCAAAGAATTTCGTAAATGTGTGTAAACAACATGATGACCTTTCAAAAAGAGCATTAACGATGAAAATCCTAAAGGGGGAAAACATCGACAACAATTCCAAACACAATCATTAATCGGATTCTGTATAAAATTTGCAAAACTATTCAGTTTAGATCTTCTAAGTCAGGAGCAAAGTCACATTCTCAGATTACGCAGGCGAACGTTTTAAGCGGCTGAGCTCAACTTGTGGGCTAAGGCATCTCGGACAATTTGCAGGAGATATAGTGCAATATGGAATGTTAGGAGTATATAATGGTAGACATCAATTGTTAGTAGACACCAACATTTGAAAAAGCCGTGAAAAATAGGTTACCTTTCTATCAAATCTGTTTTTTCTCATCAACTTTTGAAAGTTTGACCCCATACCCCACAAGCACTGCCTAGTGGCATAGAAAAACTAAATTTGCTCTACTTGTAGCAAAAGCTACCGCTAATTTTTATAAAAATTCTCACTCAGACTAAAGTCGAAACAGGCATTTAAATACTCTAATAAAGGAGACTAAAATAATGAGGATGATTATGATAAACCATATAAACTTGAATGTATACAGAGCGTTCTATTTAAAAATACAGCATTATTCCTGAGCATTTTTCTGAGACCTGTATAGAAAAAATGCATTGCATTGCAAAATTTACATAACTAGAACCTTTGTGAAATAAAATAAACATCAACTGCTTTCGTCCATCCGACGAAAGACAGCCAACCATGGACAACTGTTTCGTACTTTTTGGCTACTCCTCAGCATGGTCTAGGCTTAGGTCTCTCGAACAGTGACCGATCCATAGCAAATTTATACTATTCAAAGTCCGTGATCCTTCGAAATAAGAAAGCGCGAAGCGCCATCTATAGCTAGAATCGACCACTGCGAGACTGAATTGCAACCTACCGGTTGGGACTGTATAGATCTCGGTAGGCTGTGATTCACAGTTTCGCGGTAAATGATTCTTCGCGCTGTCTTATTTCGATAGAACTTGTGTACGATCTTCTATTTCTCAAACGGTCGGGTCGCACTAAAAAGTAAACGTAAACCATAAAGTAAATTTACATTCAGCACTTAGTCCAGCTTTTCGTCCGTTGTTTTCAGGAGCAGCCAGATAGTGATACAATAAAAATGTTTGTTGGTCAAGTGCCGAGGTCGATGGATGAAAATGACTTGAGGAGGATGTTTGAAGAATATGGCAGGGTGCACTCGATAAATGTATTAAGAGACAAAGCGACGGGAGCGAGTAAAGGTAAGTTTTGTCTGATTTTATAAAAAGGTGTCAGGTACGCCTATGAAATGAACCTGTTGGTTGCAAAAGGTATCGTACGGTGAGAGAATTTCTGGTCTCACCAAAGGCAACCCTACGGCCAAGCTATTTCGTCTCCTTGTGAGGTTGCGACGAGTCAATGTACTTAGTTAGAATGCGGTATATATATTGGCAATTTTTATTTTTGATACCGTGACTGAGATAAAAGCTTATATGGAACGTATTTCACAAATACATTCTAGCCACATCAAGCAATCGACGTATATCGTATTCTTTTGTTTGACAAGAACTCCCAATACAAAAAAATGTAACGTGCAATGAACGAACTACAGGAAGTGACATTTTGTTCGCAAATATACTCCAAGGGTCTGAAGATTACTTTTAACTTGCTTTCTGTATCAACTATAGCTCTCCAGGAGCAGTATTCTCTTTCTTTACATTGAATGCGATACATTTTCAAAACGTTTAGCAAGTCGTGTTGTACAGCGAAAATGTTTAGTGCTTCGTTCAGGTGTTCACGTTGCCAATGTTACTAACATGCACTCGGTTGAGAAACCGAGAGGAATATAGCCGGCTAAGAACAGTGTGATTTCTGTCTACGTCAATTTGGTAGCTTCCAGCGTGCAATACATATGTTTGAAAGAGATTGAAGCATTTTGTTGGCCAGGAACCCGAGTGATGAGGTCACAGGCGCAACTGCGGCTCGCGACGTTGCGATCGGCATACTCCTTCCAATATACCGCAGTCTTCTCTCGGACACACTAAGACAATGGTGGTATATGGATTTCCCTGTATGTAGTTTTTTTCAGGTACAAGTAGTTCACTATTGTTACTTACTCTATTGCTTATCACGTGCGATCTGTACTACCTTGTCTTACAAAAGTTTTTTACAAACTTTGCCTCTCCAGATTTTCAATATCCTTTTATTAAATTAATTCCACCAGGTACTGAAAAATAGAGGAATTCAAAACTATACTAGTGTGTTGCTAAAAACATAATATAAGACTGGTGACCTTAGGAGTTCTCTATATAAATAACGGGACGATATTTTGCATACTGAAGCTACAACGTTCTAAAACATTTGTATACCGAACGAATTTCACCACAGCTTTCAACTATTTTCATCAACCAGTTAACCTAGTTTTGTATTCTCTTCGTTGGTACTCGCCACCCTAAGAGCTGAAATACACGTTATTTCTGCAGTATTCCTTGCTCGACAAAGTTAGCATGCCAGAATTGGTCTAAAAGAATTTGGGAATAACGCTACTGCATCTCGGCATCATACCGGCTACACGCCTATAGCATCAGATTGAATACAGCTGGCTATACACTCGCGTACTCTCGGAAAATCCCCTGGCGTCCAAGAACCGTGGTGTAAAATTAGTTGCTTTAGTGGATGTTGCACACGTTATGTTAGGATGGGAGGGTATTTCAGGGATTATTGTAGGTGTCAGAAGCTCCACGCTACACGCCGCGTCAGATATAATCAGTGTGACTAGATGATAGAATTGGATTCAAATGACAGGCTAAATGATGTTTGTTTGCCATACACGGGCAAAGCCTTCATCTTGCGCATGCCAGCCTTCATCTTCGTTGCGCCACGATTTTCCGCGCAGCAGGAATGTATGGTCGGCAAATTGTCCCTCATTCCCAATAAGTTACCCCTTAAGTCTTGCACGACGTCCTGCATCAGCCTGTATATGTTTGTATATAGATTTTAGAAATTCTAAAATCAACATAATGCAATATTATGAAAGGCAATATATTTAAACCCACATATACATTTATTCATTATGAAATTTATGAATGCAGAGTTCTAATTAAATATATAAAATCATTTGTTCAGAGCGAAATACTAAATATTCCATAGCGTTTGTATAAATGTTATTCTGGATATTATTTGAGCTCAGAGCTGTTCATGCAAAAATTATTTGTACTAACTATATGGTGCTCCGAAGTATTAAATGAAATATTTATTGTATTTGCTATTAATAATGACGCTGCTCCAGTGTATGAGCAGCAAATGGCTTCGGGCTAAAAAAAACGATGATGTGCTGACATACAATTTAATGAATTTTTGGTCAAGGACTATTATTGCCCCCATTTATGATTTTGAAATATCATTGTGCGCCTTGAGCCCACGTAAGGGTGCACCCTCATTGAGAGCACGAGATGCGACCCGACGCGCAACAATGTCGCATTACAACGCCTCACAAGCGGCTGTCTCTGATCCCGTTCGTCACAAATCTGTCCTTAAACCTCACTGACCATAATGAAACAATCTTTTCTCTATGTGGCTCCAAAATAATGTGCACACGTACCCAAAGAAATAAAACAGTTTCGAAATACACATAAATTTAAAATGAAATTATCCAAACGGGTACGCTCAATAGGAAGACAACGCCTATCAAATATTCATTAAAAGTTATAGTCATCTACATATACACCCATTTGATATGTTTCTTTAATTTTTTTTTCAATTTTCTTCTTTTGTTTCTGGAATGTCACACGTTTCAGCATACAACTGATCCATGTACAGGGATTATTCCTCCCTGGATTAAAACATATTTATTTACCCATTCTATGTTGTTATTATTGTTGTTGTATTGTGGAGTAATTAAATATCCGCTACTACCACTACAACATGGCACTACTGCAGTGATAGTTATTTTTATGAGCGGTCGCCAACCAGAGGTATTATGTAAAAAGCCTAAAAAACGTCAAAAAAACTAGACTAGGTAGTTTTTAGTGTGCAAATAGTTCAATCCACGCTTGACCGTTATGATCTCTGTGAGCGTCATCAAAAGCGTCCATGGAGGAATGACTTAACGACACGACAAGCATTGTTGGTTACATAAAGCCGAGTAGCCTGTAGAGTTTATCTCTGAGAAGATGTGAGAGAAAGAATCTTGGTTGAGTAGCAAGATCGCATCTGAATGATCATGTGTATTGGTCTGCATGTGTATAAAATCAGTGATATTTGCTATGTGAGAAAATTATTACTGGATATGCTACCAATGATGTATATCTATCAGTTGTGCCCGACGGGTTATTTATATGCTGTCCTTTCTGGATAGAGGTTGGCCCGAAAAAAGGTAACATGGTCACGCAAGGCATCTGTTAAAATATACTCTTCTAGGCTCTACAAGACAATCCGTAGCAAATGAAAGTTGGAAAATTGACGTCTTGACGTTCGAACTTTAGTTTGTTAATTGACTTGGAACCTTAACCTGAAAGCGAAAATCTATTAAAACTGAGGTATAGAAAGGGAAAACATTTTCCGGTTGAGAATATCAAAAAATGAACAGGTTTGCTATTTGAAACGCTCATATAAAAAGCAGAGTTTTCTAGTTATTGTAGACACAGAAAAAAAATATGAAATCTTTGGCTCAGAAGGCTGCAGTAGTGTATTAGTAGCTGTAATTTAGTGCGTTTCCTTATTGAATGTCCATATCTAAGGGGGTGGTTTCAGGTCCATTTTAAGATGAAAACTTCATAAGTTCATATGTCCTAAATATTTTAACTTTTGAGACACAGGAAGGTAAAAAAGGTAAAAAAATATTAGTTGATTATGAATATCTGTAATACCACTAAATGAAATATGGCATACATGTACACGTGTCAAGAGGCATGTTTTTGATTTCACTTGCCTATTTTGATAGACAGTAATGGTATGCCGTTGAGTTCTCTCTTATTGAAATTTCTAATCACTTCTAAGCAAAAACCACTTGAATTTTTTTCAGTTTGATTCACGGTTTTCATAAAAATTAAAACTGTTTTTCTCTTTGATCATAACAATATTATCAACATGACAATATCACCATGCAGAGACATTTTTTATTTTTTGGGCGTAAATCGTTCTTTTAGTCTGACGCATGGCTTTCACCTGAAAATACAATCTATTCCTCGACATAGTGATATAGTCATACTAACGATATTAGGATCATGCAAAGAACCATTATTTTATTTTTGCAAGCGAATACTGTGCATCGAAGTAAAAAAAAAATTAAACAAACAAATTTGCTCAGAAATGAAGGGATTTCAAGAGTAGTTTTTATTTTAAGTGAAACCAGTTGTGTACTATCATTGTTTGGCAAAATAGGCAAGTGAAATTGGTACGGACGTCGCTAGTGAAAATTAAAAGAAAATTCCTGCATTAAAAATACCTCTTGATGGTACATACATATATATGCCGAATTTTAATACCCTGCTTCTCAAAAGTCAAGACGTTTAGGACGCACGATTATATAATGTTTTCTTTTTAAAATGTACCCAAAAGTCGCCCTCTCAAACATTGACAATCAGTTGGAAAACAGCCTATATATTTTATGTAAGTAAATCTTAACTTATTAAAGATTATTGGAATACACTATTGTAGTTTTTAATTTTGGATATGTTTCTTTGGCTATATATTTGTTCGTATTGCCTGTACCTTTTAGATATAAATACTTCATTTGATTACTGATGCTTATGTGTTTTGACATACTATCTGTATATTCCCTAACAATTTCGTGTCTTATATTTTTCTGTTGCTAAGTATTTGCAGAATATAAATAAAAGGATACTTGATAAAATAAATATTTTCTATTGTTGATTGTACACCCACAGAAATACAGATGTCATTAATTTTTAATCCTTCTTGTCTTTCAAAACAAATGTTTTTTCTCTATCATGATGTTAACTAGATTGTATACTATTTTCTAAATTACAAGCTATGTAAACAGGGCTAAAAGGATTTCTAATCAATTACAAACAAAACTTTCTAGTTTGGGGGTACATTAGATCATCTTTGAAAAGTTAATGTATATTAACTGTAGGTACCAAACTTTTTGAAATATCCAATTTAAATAATTGACTCTTCTTTTTTCTCTAATCACGTTCCTTACACTTGAGTTATTCTGTTCTGGAACAGTACCTTGTAACCTGGGCTTGTCAGAATCGGATGTCTTTGCGCAATGCAAGTAGATCTGAAAAAATACTATTATAAGAAATGGTGATTTCTTAC